ATATATGTATGGAGGATATCAAGTGAGAAGAAATTTATTATGAAATGAGAAATTTAAAATGTAACTCTTAGATTAATTTTCTTTCACTTGATTAAATCCCAAATTTTCTCTCACTTGATTAATCTAAGAGTTATATTTTAACCCTCTCATCTCTCATAATAAATTCTCTCTCACTTGATATGCTCCTATATATATATATATATATATTGTAGGATTCCCCACAAAGCACAATATTCAGAAAATTTAAGATCTTCCCGAAACCAGTAGAAAAGCTAGATATGATAAAAACGACAATGATGAGAGAGGGGTGGTGAGATTGGAGAGAGAATACATGTTGCAAGTGTTGGGAAACAATCGATTATTGAAGGTTTGATAAAATATTCTTTAATGGACTTTTGAATTAAAGCAAAAGAGAAAGAGAGGAGGTTTGAATTCATGAAGACATGAATATACCTGGGGTGCTGCGTGTTCTTAACAACTTTCTGTCCGTACTTCCTCCACTTGTAGCCATCGTCCAATACATCCACATCGCTCATGGTCTTGAAGCAAAACCTAGGCTCTCTCACCTTCCTTCTTGCCTTCATTTTCTTCATCTTCATGGCTGAAATTCCGAGATGATGATCATCAAATCCACTTCTTTTTGTGCTGAAGCAATCAGTCACTTCTCCCGGTGCCCTAAATTCAATCATAACAAAACCCCAACTCTCTTCAGCTATATATAGAGTATACATGTCCTATTAAATTATATGGTAAAAAAGTTTAACATGCGTGGTTGGACATACGAGAATTTAAAAAACCTCTGAAGCTAGTAAAGTAGTAGACTAGATAGATAGATACACCAAGGCTTAAATTCGATCGGTATTATATAAAGATCAAAATAGATACAGTAGGACTTAGATTTGATTTTTATTGTCATCATTATAATCTTTTTTATTCATGAAAAAATATCTGAGAATTAATTGAAGTGAGGTAGTAACTGTCTTACCATGGATTTACACTCGATCTTTGCAAGGATAGGAATTGAGCTCCTCCAAAGGTGGTAGAATTGAGGTCTTCTCTTGACTTTTGAGCAGTGGTTGAGAATAGGGTTTCTGTGAGATTTGATGCAGAGTCTTGTTGAGATATGGCAAGTGAAGCAGGTGCTACGGAGCTGAAGGCTTTCAAAGAGGATTGATGGCAACCCAAAGGAGGGAAGGTAAGGTTTGTTGGAAAGGGGAAGAAACCCATCTGTGAAGGAATCTGATCCTGCTCCTCGAATAAGCTGTGATGAACAATGGAATGAGAAGTTGTTGACATAACTTCTGATGATCTTTTCTCTCTCTCCTTTTCCTTCTCCTTCTCTTCCACCACACGGTTCCTATATAGAGGTTGATGATGTTTCTAGAGGAAGAGGTTTGGTGAGAAAACCTCTGGGGCTGAGATATTACACCCTAATGGAAAGCATAAACTTATAAACGTTGAAAAACCAACTTTCCCTTTTTCTCTCTCTTTCTATCTTCGAGGATTTGCTAATTTCTAAAATGTCTGTGTCATCTATATAACGTATATTCCAACATGTGAACTATGGAGGGTTAAATAACTAACTACATGGTTATATATTTATTTTTCAATGAAAATATCATATATACACTATCTCTGTCTAAAAATTTATGATTAAAAATTAATTTATGTTTGAAATATATAATTTTTGTCGATGAAATATTATTTTATAATTACAAGAATAAATATTGAAAATATCAGATGGATTCTTCTTGTCATGACAGATTTTAGAATTACATGAATAAGAGACTTGTTAATAAATGGACATATATATGTGAATATATTATGATGGATAAATGTGGAGCGGGAACGAACAAGAGAAAAATGTTGAAAAAAGGGTGCGAGAAATATGCAAAAAGTGAAGGCAAGAGAGACTTTTGGTAACAATTCAACCAAGTTGGCAGTTTGCTGCAAACAGTGATCGATGGTACTATTTGCCTAAAAAGCTTGGAAATTCCATGTCCTTCATGGTTAGTGGGATTTCACTGTGGTATGGAGGTCAACATTACACGACAAATGTCTCAACAGAGAAGTTGATTCATATCTTTGCCCTCAAAAATGTCTATGAAACTTCCATGCAACATCCTCGCTATTGTAGATAATAATTATAATATGGGCAAAAGTGAAACCTGTTGAGTGCACAATAATAGAAATAGATACCTAGCTATAATCAAAATATAAGTGAAAATTATCGATCATTATATTCATCAATTCACTATAAAGTATCAAAGAAAAGGAGTAAAAAGATGCATATGTGTATCACTTTCTAGAGTTTCTTTTGGATCATTTTATTATGAAGATTATGATTTTTGGGGGCACCATGTACATAAAAGAAAAAAATATCAGAGGACAGTGATGATGGATATTGGATGCATTATATCTATCACAATTCACACCCCTAGCTCGCTGCATCGGCGGTGAAGTATCATTATGATGGGTGATTGCTTATTTGACTTTTTGTGGCCAAAAAAGCTTATTACCTTTCTCATATCCCTTTTGCTCTTTTAACTTTCTAAAACTCGAACTAACCCCACGACACCAACCTTTTTTCTCAAATTCCAAACCAAACTTATAATATTGTTATCATATCTTGAATTAATTAAGTGTGACAATCATGGTTAACTTTATATTTTGCCATGCCTAAAAATTTGTGGACCAATATCTAGCCATTGAAAGCATATAGTTCATCTACCCGTTTCAGAATTTTGCCATAATTCAATAATTATGTTTTCTTTGTACTTCACCTAGCTGTTTAACCAAGCACACAGAATGATGGATTTCATTTGTGGAAATTAATGAATGAAGTAAGTGTTGTTTGGAATAATTTTTATATGAAATAATTGTTTATTTTCAAAAGTCCATTAAAAAAACTATAATAAAATAAGTAATTGTTTTAAAAAAAAAACTAAACTAAATATGCAATAAATAGTAGTTGTTGAATAAGAATTCCTATAGTAAGATAAGGATTATTTGATATACACACAAATCATAAAATAGTTAAGTCCGAAGAAGTCCTCTTTTTCTTTTTCTTTTTTAGGGCGAAGGAGTCCTTAAATATTACTTGTTATACTGCTTTCAGTAAAAGAGTTATCACAAATCATATTTCACCAAATCGTATATATATGCACGAGCCGTTGCATTCTAGTTTTCGTACTTGGATTGGATTTATTAAAGTTGGCATCTACATGAAAAATCGAACTAGGAAACTTATTTTAATTGGAAAACAAAATTTTTCGTCTTTGTAAAATAAGCCAATGATTAAGTATATGGAGATACTTTAAATACTCACTTAAAATCTCTTGTTACATATAATCATTTTATCCAATGATGTTATCTTTGTTCTTATGATATTGTTCGGATCTATTATAATCATTTTATCCAATGAATTATTTATTATATATATATATATATATAACCGTA